GAAAACCAACGAAAATGTTTACGAAAAAAAGCGAAATAAACCGGGAAAAATGTAACAACAGTGAAGTGTTGGATTGTCCCCAGACCGAAAGAGAGAGGATCCCAGAGCGGAAAGACACGAGAATAACCGAGTCTGCGGAATTGTTCCTCCCACCCCAGAGCTACCCTCTCATCCCCCCCAAAAGAGAGCCGAAGTCGCGCGTCAATTGCGCGCCTTCGGAGGGCCGAGACTTGAAGAGAGGGACTTCCCCAACCAACCGGTGTGCCCCGATGCCGTGGGGGTAGACGGATTGGAAAAGAGGGGGTGGAAAGAGGGAAAGAGGGGCATACTTGGTATCAAACGAGGATGGGCAGTGAAAGATAGGACTCCACGGCGGAGTCACTCGGCGTACGGCACGCGCGAATAGTTGCGTTTACTCTACCACCGGTGTCACACGATATTTCGCGGAAAGCTCTGATATTAATTAATTAATTAATTATCTGTCAATCGGGAAAACCGGAGTATCGGGGGATTTTTATATCGGGTGTGGTTTCGCTGAATTTTTTTATTTTGCGGTATGATTTTTTCTGGAGATCGTCGGGGTACCGCCAGCGTGACGATGCTGGAGTAAAAACTTTGAGCGGATCAGAGGATCAGGTGAGATCGTAAAGTTGAAAATTTTTAGGGATCGGGTGAATTTTTTTTTTTTGGGGGGGGGGGGCAGCCCGGAATTTTATTTGCGCGCGAAAAAGAGGAACGATTTGGAAACGGTTTCTGTTAATTAATTGTTAACGATTTTTAATAACGAATTTGAGGAACGAATTTGAAGAACAAATTTTTGGGGGAGAGATCTGTGGCGGGTCTTCATTAATTTCATCTTCATTTTGCGCAAATGAAATCGGAATTAAAAAATTAATTTGTTGCTATACATTTTTATTGCACGATAAATATTTTTGACATTATGGAGACATGCATTCAGTAATAAATATTTCCATGTGTATTTCAAGTGCATAAATGAAGGGATCGATTTTAGCCCTCTGAGACGTGGGGCACGGTGGGGGGTACCACCCAGACCGCCCCCAGAAATGTATGCAATTGAAGATTGTCTTGTCAGTATTGGAAACGACAGTGACACTCGGTTCTTCATTCTGTCGTTCCTCTCGATTTTTTTTCCTGTCGCTCGATTCTATTTTTACATCTCGCAAACGTGTGCATACGAGAGAGGGTGGGAGAGAGGGGAGTAAAAAAAAAACCGAGAGGTAAAAAAAAAAAACGGGGAGACGGTTCAGTGAACGGCGCCGAGGTCAAATTATCCGTCTTTCCAGAGTCTGTTCATTGCGCGGGAAAAGTTACATAAATTGTCGGATTTGGTTTGTGTTTTCTCCCTCGATTTACACCTGAATGCCCGAGGGCTCACCCCTTCCGCCCCCTCAAGGGAATTATAAATTTTTTTAAAGACCAATTTCTGGAATTCCCCCGAGCCCTCCATAAATTATTCCTCAAATTATTATTTATTAAACTTTAAAGTTCCAACTTCAGACATTCAAAATCTTATCATAAAGTTATTTTTTGAAATGCGGAAGAGGATAATCTTTTTTTTCACTTGATGGAGTTGGAATTCGTCGGGGGGTGAATTGATACTCGACTTCTGTCGAGGAGCGAGGGAGAGGATAAAGAGGGGAAAAAAGCGACTTGAGGAGCTACTACAGAGGTGCTCTTTTCTTTTATTCTTCTTCTTTTGATCACTGGAATGGAGGGAAGAGGAGTGAGGGTAGCCACGTGTTTATGCGGTTGGAGCACGTGGTGGGTAAATCCTCCCCTGAGGAGTCTCCAAGGAAGCCTCAGTTCCAGGGGGTTTAGACGCTAAATGCTGGGGGTTAGGGGCTCTTTGCTTCGAATGGCTAACTCTCTATCAAACTCCACCTCAGGGTGTCACCAGTCCTCTCTGTTTTATTTCTCGTATAGTTTTTCTTTCCAGATATATTGCAAGCACTTTCAGAGATTGCTCTCATTACACACAGTTTTTTTTTCAACTACTCTTGCCTCAGATCGATTCAATTAAATTCGAAATGTCTAATTTTTCATTTTAATTTAAAAAAAATTGTTTAATATTTCAAAAAATTGGGAGTGACTCCTCGCAGATGAATTTGTTTATTATTTGATCAAATTTTGAATATTGAAGTTGGTGGGAGGTTGACATTTTTTTTGGGGGGAAAATTTGGAAAGTAATTTTGTAACTGGAACGGGTGGTGGGGGCGAGAGGGTTGACTTGATGATTTGTAATTAAATGTAGAATAATGGAGATGGAGTCTCGTGATTTGCTCGGCGTGTTGACTTTGACAACTCGATCCAATTGATTTTCATGAATAATTTACAACGATGCAGGAATTGTTCTGGTCGAAGGAGTGCTGAAATTAACGTGAAAACTGCTTGGTGAACTTTTGGAAAAGTTCGGTGGGAGTTTACTCGGGTTCCACTCAAAAGTTATGGAATCGCGGATGCAGATTGAACCTGGTGGAATTATAAATTATGACGAGTGTATTAATAACTCCAACTTCTTGATTACCTAGTGCGCGGTTTATTGTCGAAATTTATTGATTACATTGGCGATAACTGTAACCGATAATTCAGGGATTAATTCCCATAGGATTTTCGGAAATTCATACCATAATGGATTGCCGATGCACTCACAAAAAAAAAATATCTCAAAAAAATTGAATACGAGAAGAAATGAGAAACTGCACATTCAGCATTTGTCTTAATTAACGATTTATCTCCAAAATTATCGATTTTAGGAAAAAATATGATGAGAAAGTTTTTATTGGAAAATTAATCAACTCCAAAAAACTCTCATCATGTGTTCACCGGAGATCGATAGTTTTCGAGATAAATCGATAGGTGTCGAGGTGAAATTTTTCCCCTGCTGTTTTTCGCGAATTTTGCGGATTTCGTTTTATTCTTTTCGCGTTTCAATCTGGGGATTTGAATTTTTTCGGTTGAGAATGAGTTTTCGTGTGTGACTGTACGCGACGGGAGTGATTGCCTCCTCGACTTCGATATTAAAGTCTTGCCACAAGGCGTCCCTGAAGACCTCCCTCTCGCATCTTATATTGTTCGCCACCCAGTTTTACGATGCACCTCGCAAATTGCATTTTGCCAGGCAGAAGGTAAATGGAGGATAAACGGAGAACCTCTCCCTCGGTCGTTTTTAGCGACATTCAGTGTCGGGGTCGACAGAGATTCGAAAATTAAATTTGGCAGGAGGAATGACCCCAGCACGAGGCGAGAAAATTTATATTGAAAGTTGAAGAATTCCTAACAATTGACATTTACAATTAAATGTTAGAAAAATTGTTATTTCTTTTTAAACCATTTTTAACATGAATTAGAATTAAATGCTCCCCGAAAAATCTGTGTACATTCCCTGGGACATTTAGACATCCCGGATGTCTCTGTAATTTCTGCCAAAACTTTCGTCCCCAGCGAAAAAAAAATCATTCCCGATATACACAAGATCCCCAATGGCCATAATCGAATTCGACCGGAAGGACTGATCACCAGTTTCCGGTTCGGGCGGAGTGCCAAAATGTCGCGAGAGACAAATGTTTTTCCGACACCAAAAAAAAAAAAATTGTTTCCCCTGACAAAATCCCCGACACCCAGAGAAATATTATTTTTCACAAAAATATTGGCAACTGGTTCCAAAAAAAAAAAATCATTGAACCCAATAAATTTAATAGTAATTTATTCCCCATTTTTTTTTAATTATAAAAAATAATTTCGATTTCCGCTCATTGCAATCGATAGATTTCTCATGCCGCGATTCATCGCGAAGTGGAGGAAATGCATGTTGAAAGTTTTAAGAGACACTAGTCGCTTTGGGCCCTCCCCCCTGAAACTTTGATAATTCGCCAAGTGGAGGGTCCATTAATAATTCCGCCATTGTCTGCGAATACTTTACGACACGATTTCCTCCCAAAAATGTTGGCGATTAATCGAGGGTGTGAGGTACTGGTCGCACGATGAATTTTCCCTCCAACTGAAATCATGGAAAATATTTTTCATTAAAAGTTTATTGGACTCAACTCGGCTGATTTATCAAACGAATTTTTCATCGAATTAAATCGACTAAGTGCCCATTTCCTCTGAGTTATGCCAGCCAATTAATTCTGCAATTGCGAATGAGTCACTGGCAATAACTCAATCATTTTTCAGACTCGTGAGATTTCGATGGATCGTGGGGTAAAAATATTTGAATAAAATTCAAATAAATATTCCATAACCATTATCGAAACAGGAAATTTATTCTTGATCACGATACGTGTTGTTAATTTTTTATCACCCTGTAAAGACTAGAGTTATCGCTGTAATGGGCTCTTGAAACAACCGATGTAGTTCAAAACCATGAGAACATCATTTGCGGTTATTGCCACTAGCGCATTGAACTTATGGCAACAGCTTGGGTTTACCTGTGTCCCAGTTTAGCTCATAGCTGGTTATTTCAAGACCATTGAGGTCACGTCGAACGATTCATAATGAACTGTCGATTCGTTTTCATATTTGAGAGAATAGTTATTAAATCAGCGAAGGGGATTTATAAACGTCCCAAGATAACCGATCGATTCCCCCCGAGAACTGAAAAGACTAAAAATGTACCCGTCAGATGATTCAATAATTTCTCTCCACAATTTATGAGTAATAAAATAAATAATTTACTGTTGCAGAGTTACCGAAAAATAGCGAGACAAGTGAGTACTCCAGACAGTGCGCCAACAGGTCTTGGCAGTCCTCAGGCTGGTATTGGTGGTCTCCAACAGCATCAGGCACCCCAGCAGCAGCAACAGCAACAGCAGCAGCAAAATCAGCAGTCAATTCACACTGATCCCATGCAGCAGACCAAGGACAACCTCAATCCCGCAGCGAATCAGCAATCGGGTGTATTGAGGAACGGAAATCCACCGCCTCCAGTCGTCTCAATGGTGAGTGTCTCCAAAAAAAATTATAATAATTAAAACTAAAACGTTCGTCGCATTTTTTTTTTGACGCTTCAGTAGTTTTCTCTCTCAATTGTAATTCAATTGTAATTGAAAAAATCCTGGGAGGGTACTGGGGTCTTATCAGGACGCTCCAGTTTCCTTCTGATTATTCTGATTGCATTCAGGTGCGTCACCAGACCCTCGGGCCATTTATAGTCACTATCGTAGAATTACACTCGTCTTCTCGTGTCAGCCTAGAAACGCCTCTCTCATGTGAATATACATCATCCTGAGACTGAAATGTCCCTGTTACCATTGCATCGCGAATTTCAGAACTTAATTAATTGATACAGGAATTATTCGATTGATTAATTCAGTCGGAACTGTGGACGACGTTTGTTAATTATGATTTAGCTCATAAACTATTGATTTTAGAAAAAAATTGTAGGAGATCTTTTTTGTTGGGAATTTAATTAGCTATAAAAAAGGTCTTCAATATTTTCGTCTTAAATCGATATTTTCCGAGATAACGTGACGCTTAATCCCATTTATCGTATTTTAACATTTTGCGACTGAATTGAGAGTAGTACAAAGATAATCTTGTCGGCCATTCAACGATAATGGGATTGAATTAAAAAATTATCAAGCCTCTGGACTGAAATATCATTTTTATTATTAAATGTCAGACTGGGGATTTCAAAATGAATCCAGAGGTCGGAAACCGGACGCGAACTCGTCTCTCTTTACATCTTCATTACAGAATTCTTCGTCCAGTCATTTAGATTGTTAATATTTTTCGTATTTTGCAAGAGGTGGAAAAGAGGGGGTGAGGCGTGCATAATTGCATAATTGTTCACGGAATTTTCCCGATGAATTTCCACGAGAATTCACGTAGTCTAGGGTAAAATTGGATGATCGGGGTGAGTCTCTCTCTCGTTTCTCGTTTGGAATTCTCAACTCTCTCCAGCTTTCTCTGGTGCACGCCGTTGCTTGGCGGTTCCTGTTCCTGCGGGTATTGATTCGCGTTGGCGGTCGGTCACCACCCACCCCCCGGTTGAGCCGACGTCTGCCACTGGTCTAACACACCCCTTCACGATGCGCCACGTCAGATGGGTTATGTCCTGGGTACCACCATTTTTTAATCGTCAGTCTCCCCAATTATTCTTCTCAATTTTCCGACAATACCTCCTAATAATTTCCGCTGAACAAAAAATCATTCCCCATAAATCCCGAAAAACCGGGAAAAATGAATTTCAAAATTTTCCGAAAATATTCAAATTGATAATTAATTCGTGAATAAATTATAGCACCTTTACCACCTCTATCACAATGTCTCTCGGTGCAGTCACGTCAAACATAATTGCCAAATTTCCCCTAAGCCAAACCAACCGAAACTAGATGTTCATCAGTCATGAATATAAATCAGGTGCACCCGCAAACATATCAGGCTGAACTGGAAATAATTGTTGAAACCTCGGCAGAAGAAATGGTGTGTTCCGGGTACAGAACGCACAATTATGCACGAAACCGAGACCTCGAAATTCCGGTCCTTGTTTTTAGGGGTTGACGGGGCGAGAGGGTGTGCGGGGGGGTTGTGCGGGTGGTTAGTGGGTGGCGGTTGTAGGGGATGGGGAGATATGCAAGCTCATAAGCCGTAGTGCGGTGGGAGAGAGATGAAATGGGAAAGCCAATGGGCGATTGAGGGCACATGTGGTTTTCACTTGGATATATCCGACCCACTGCCTATATCTCGTACTACACCTGTGGAAAGGGAAAAGGGGAAAAGGGGAAAAGGGGAAAAGGGGAAAACTACCCGGCCCAACGAGCCGGAATTCGAAACAAAGGCACCACTGATGTTTCGTTACTCGTGACGCGGTCAAATTACCTTAATCATTCACCAACGGTAATTCCATTAATTTCATTGGCTATTTGCACCGCTGGCACACCTCAAATCCTCTCTGTACCGAATTTTTTATTAATTCCCTGAAATGACTTCATCCACCGGAACTCAGGATTTTTTTATTTTTATGTTTGAAATGAAATTCCGAATTTTGGAAACTCAGGGTCTGGGTAATAATTGGATTTGGAGGATTGACTCATTAATTAAATTGTCTTCATTATTCATGAGTAGTAATTTCATTAATTTCATCAGGAATTCACAACGGAGAGCGGGAATTTCTTTGTCCGGGAATTTTAAATTAATTCTCGGGAATTGCTTTATTTCATCACATGGGGAATAAATTTTTCCGGTGTTGAGGAATTTTTATTAGAATTCCTCGTCATATTAAAAATCCGGGAACAAAGGCTACGGTTTTCTCAATGGAGTTTTTTTTTTAAATTTTATCCTATAAATTTCCTTGCTAGTGGAGATTATTTTTTCCGGGTTAGACTCCGCAATTTTGCAGAATTTGCATAATTAAATTACTCGGTTCCTGAACATCAAAATTACCAATTTAGTTCTCAGGAGAATGTTAAGCATGAAATTTGAATTTTTCGACTCTCACCGCTCTTTGAGAATTAACTCTCTTTTATATTATAGAATTAGTCGTTTCGGGTTTGGATTAATTTACTCTACAGTTGCGTCTCCATTTTTTATTTTTACTCTTCCGTAAAATAAAAATGAAATGAAAAATTCAAAAATCAAAAAAGAGACATAAACCCAAAAAATAAATACAATTATCCGATAATTTCCAATTAATCAGTCGATCAACTAGAATAAAATTGAAAGTTTGTACTTTTAAAATTACACCAGCAATTTATTCCATGAAATTTAATTCATATCATACCATTTGTAATTCCATTAAAGAAATGGCGATTTACACATTCGTGTATTATTCTCATAAAATAGAAGAATTTATTCGTGAAACAATTTGAATAATGAGTTTCTCTGCCGCCACCCCAGCGTCCAATTTTTTTTACTTAGAAATGAGTAATTTATACCGCGTAATTTGAATAATGAAATTTAAAATTCTCTCTGGATGTAATTTCGGTCGTGTCTTTTTTTCCGAACAATCGATTGAGTTCCCGGGGACGGGGGAATCCCCCAGACGTAGCAGAAAATAAAACTTGTAATTCCTGACGACTCGCCCCCATTTTATCACTCCTTATCATCAATTTAAAATTAATTCGCACACATTGATCCGCCAAAATTAATTGGTTCATTAAATCCACCACAAATCAACTCAAACTTCTCTCTATCACCAATTAAATTACCCATTAATTAATTAATTAACCACTATCCAAACATTTTAAAAAGTTTTAATTAATGTACAATTAGATAAAATACTTGTTTTACCAATTAAATTTTTTGCGGAAACCAAAAAAATAATTTTTGAATGAATGAATTCCGGTAATGAATTTTTAATTTTCAATAATAACTATTACAATTCGGTGAATTGTTACTGAATCACCGATAAATTCATAACTCGCGTGTCGTCCATTCATTGATGATCCAATCCCATCAGAAGTGTCAATGAATTATACGCAGGTGAAATTCCGATGCGCGTTAACACTAGCCAATGCGATTGAAACCGCCAATTGGTTCTGTCGATATACAATCGCCCATTGATGATCCTCACTTTTCCTTTTCACCCGTTCGTGTCACCCGCGGTGTAAAAGGGAGTGATAAAAATTCCGGGATTACCCACCAATTCGTGATCCCAGCTGTGATCGCTCTCAAAACGTCAGTTAACTTCAAGTGACATTTCAATTACCTCTCGTTGCTCAAAAAAAAATCGACAACTCGAAAATCCCCATTAATTCGTTGCAATTAATTTCACCAATTATTGTACAGCCAAAAAAAAATTTGAAGTGATTGATTTTGTAATTTCCTCAAATTAATTTCTAAAGTAATTATGCTGGATTAAATCTGGGTTTATTGTATGGAAAAATGGAGTTGGGGATTTGTATTGAATTCTTGTTTTATTGGCCACAATAAATTCCGTGGTGGTAGGTCAGGGTGGCACGCTATCAAATGTCACGGATTTTCCATGGCCACTCATCCCTTACTAACACCATGAGGGGATGAAAGAGGGAAACAGCCTCGACACACGTTTGCAAAGATCGGATACTGGGTTGAAAGCTTGGCAATGGTTTGAGGGTGTCGGTACAGCGGTTCACTTGGCTCAATGCCCGTACAAACTCATACCCTTTCTACTCGTGCAACATTCCCTCCCTCTCTCACACTCCTTCGATGTTATCAGACCCACCACAAACACCAATCCACAGGGCCACTTGCGGCATCCCTTCAACACCCATTTTCCAAACCGCATCACCTCGCCCTTTCCTCCATCTCCATCAACTTCAACCACCACCTTTATCCTCACTTCAACTACTAGTGCTCCTTCGACTCAAACCCAATCCATCAACATAAAAATTCTTTGATTTTCTTCTGTCCTCTTTGGTTCAAAATATTTATAAATAATAATAAAACATGTGCGTAAAATCGTTGACGATTAAAATAATGCAATCGTTTTTTTTTTTTTTCGGTGATCGGAAGCGGAAAAATTTCATGAAAATTCAATGGAAATTTGAATTTCAATCTGATGTTTAATGGAGATGTTGGAAAATGGTGAAAATTCAGGGGACTATTCCCTCAATTGCGAAGTCATTTGAAATTCAATTTACCACGATGTTTGATTTCTCCGATGAATTTCATTTTCATACGACAATGGAAATGTTTGAGAATCAAGACTCTCAAAATATTGACAATAGAAATTTCCATTTCCCATGCGAATGAAAATCCCTCGGAATTCCAGAGTGAAAAAATTACCGACAAAGTGCGAAATTAATCATTGATAATTGAAATAAATGGATGAATTCCCGATTAATTAAACTGTTTGCACCATTTCAACTGTCGACTACTCAATGATTATCACTGAAAGTAAACAACTCATTTCCCAAATACATTGCCCCCTTTCATACCTGGGCATCACCAATCAGTTGAAGCTGCCAATTGACAATCAATTTCCCTGTTTTCCGTGCACACACGAAGTATACTTCACCTCCCCCCGACACCGGTCGAATGGTTTAATGAAGGCTGACGTTTGCCAGCAAACAAAACTCGCCTAATTAGTAATCCAATTATTTTGATTGCAGGCACACATCAAAGAGCCCAATCAGACCAATTACAAAAATACTGGGTTGACAGAGAAAAACACTGTACCTATTTGTATTCTCCTTTTGAGTCAATTCTATGAAATTCCGATCAATTTTCTCAATTTCCCGCATTTCCCGAATGAATAAATTCATAAAAATTAATTAATAATGATAATAATTAATATACAGGGATTTTTTATTAATTGAAAAATTTTCCTGAAATTTCCAGAAGCTTGAAAAATCGTTGAAAAAATTTTTAATTGATGTAGATATATTTGAAGTATAATATTTTGTGTATAAACCGCTTTGCAAGTGCCCAGGGTGGCATTGAGATGTCGAGAATCTCCGTGAAGTCGGAAACAATGTGCCTTGGAGATTACTTGAACGGTGGAAGTGTTGGATACGGGGATGAAAGGGCAATTTAGAGGGAAAGATCTCGTCCACATCCGCCAGTAAAGGGAAACGAGTCGGTTCTAGTGGCTAGTGGGGCCCGTTGGCCATCGCGGAAACTAGAAGCTTCTGGTGAATGCACCGGGAGGTTGGAGACTTGTAGGAGAGACCTCAGATCCACCATCTCATTCTCACTCATTGCCACCCCAAAGTCCGCTTGAAATACCACAGACTGAACTTCCGTTTGAATTTCCAGGGATGCGTTAACCGACCCGAGGAAATTCGCTTCCGACCACGAGCTAGGGGCCACCGGGATTACCATCGTAATTCAATGCTGGATAATTGAATTGTCCCAGAGCTATTTAGAGTCGATGCCATTTTTTATTTTTGTCATTAATTCATGATTACTTCAAGTCCTCGACAAATTAAATTGAATCTCACGATTATTTTTATGGTTTTAAACATAAACAGAATTACTGAGTATTGCAATGGGCTGTACACCCTGGGGATACTCATAAATCCACTGGGAAAATTCTCCCTGAAAATCGCTCATCCTCGAACGTTCGGACTATTCTTTCACCTCGTCTAGGTATTATGTCGCCGTTGAAAGCTCTTTCGCGCGCACGCTATAAATTTTCACCCCCTGTTTTTCCGAGTTTTCCCTGGTACCCCAGGATAAAGTGAGCCATAGGTACAAAGGAGATGGTAAAAACGAGAGTGGAGTGATATCAACAGAGACCCTCAACACCGAGGGGTGCATCAAAGCCAGCAAAGTTTTAACGGGATAAGCCAGAGTGTTTTTTTTTCTCCCTCCCTCTTTGTTTCACCCTCATTCCGCCATTTCCCTCGAAACTTGTGAGTGAAAGTGAAGGAGAAGAATGCCCCGAGCTCTTGCACAGACGACACTAAATAAAATATTCAGTATAGCCTCAGAAACCTGTGTTTTACGATGCAAAATTCTGATTCACGAGTTTCCAAACGAGTTTTTTCTTTTTCGAAAGAAAAAACATTCATTGTCTCGGAAATTTCCGAGTGAAGAATTTTACCTCCTGAAATTTATGGCTTCCATTTATTCTTTTTTTAGTCACCGGGGGTGATGCCGTTTTATGGTGACACTGGAGCTGGATTTAGACCAGCAGCTGGATTTGGCAATGCCGTATGGCACCAAGGAGTTGCCCCAGTGGGTGCTGTCACGGTTGAGGCAACTCCAGCTGCATGGCCACCTCAGCAATTTATCCAGCAAATTCCACCACCCAATCAGCTCGACGAGCTGAGATATCACACGCAATACAGTGCTGCAACCCCTTATCATCCTCAAGCAGGTAACACCCACAACCTGTTCTCTGGATTCAGAGAAATTATTTGACAATGGATACGGGCGACGGGATTCTGGAGAATTAAATTCAAGAAATGTTTAAAAATTTACAGACAGAAAAATGATATAAATCTTCAGAATCCCCTGACCCACATCCCCATCACCGCAAGCACAACCATAATTAACACTGTCGTTTTTCGCTTCACGCAAAACTAGAAGAGCAAATTCTCATGGTTCCAGTGACATACCAGCAGCAGGCGTTCATCGCAACGGATCAATCGGCCTTTCAGCGTGCAGGTAGCACAGGCCAATACACGATAACAGGGCAACCATCGCCCCTAGCCCCAGTGGCACCCCAAACAGGTGCCCCACCCTCCCAAAGACCCCTAAATGGTCAATTCATGGACCCAGCAGCTACCCCCAACCAATCGGTTGGTTACGAACGCCAGGAGTACGTCAACGGCTACCAGCAACAGGTGAGACACCTAGACCCTCCCACCCCCATTGACCAAAAAAAAAAGAAAGCCCTTAACAACCACCCCTGAGCCCTATTAAAAGAGTCACGAGTCACGCGGCAGTGACGAGTAATTGAATGAAAAATCGATGACTTTTAAGTTACAGATCGAATGATCCTCTTTTCAGGACGTTACAATGGCACCACCACCCTCAACAACACCAAATAGCCGGAGTAGTTCAGTTCACATGGAGCAACAGCAACAGACTAATCAACAGACACCCCAGACAGGCCAGAGTGATACGCAAGTCAAGGGATTTGCTACGATAGCTACATCAAATGTGTCGGGAAACGAGATGCCTGGGTATCCACTTCAACAGGGCCCACAGAGTTCACACAGCTCTAACGGATATCCAGGCTACATTGAAATGGGTCAACAGCCACAGTCACAGCCACAGACACAGCAGCAGCAACAGCAGTCAAATCAGTGGCAGAATCAGAATCAACAGCACGTGCCAAGACAGCCGTCCGTGTCTGATGCGAGTCAAGGCGCCCTGTGGTCAGACACAAACTCAAGTGCCAAGATGGGTAACAATGGTATGACATGGTCCGACAACAGAATGCAGAAAATTGAGGGGAGTATGCAGATGCAGGGACAGCAGGAGGTATCGAGACCGGGGAGTCATATGAGTTGGGAGAATGGAAATGTGAAGGAGCCACAGACACCTCAGTCATGGCAGGAGAGTGGTGAGGGACAGATGCAGGGAGGACAGGCGAGTTGGCCACAGCAGAGTCCCAAGATGAGGGAGAGTCAGAATCCCAGGCTGACACCTTCGTCGCAGTCACAGGGTCAGCAGTCAGGCTGGCCACAGCACTCGCCCAAATTGCCTGATCATCAGAATCAGCATCAGAATCAATCTCAAAATTCCAGAATGACACCATCGGGTCAGCATAACTGGCAGCAGAATAGTCCAGAGATTCAGGGACAGAATAGTAATCATCAGAATCAAAGACTGACACCCTCCGGCCAGCAGTGGCAACAGGGCCAGACGAAGATCGATCAGAATCCAAGATTAACACCATCGAATCAGATGTCATGGCCGGATACACCTACTAGTCAACCAAATTGGTCACCAAATAGTATGAAGAGTGATGGTAGCCAGCAGCCGCAGCAGCAATGGCCCGACTCACAGCCAAGTCCGAGGAGAACGCCTGGGCATCAGCCAGCTGCATGGCAGAGTCAGGATCAGAAAATTGATAATCAGATGAACTGGTCGCCATCGTCCACGGATAATCAATCGTGGGGCCAGCAGAGTAATAAACAGGATATGCAGAATTCGGGGGAGAGAATTATCTGGCAGGGGGCGGATAACAAATCCAATGGCTATCAAGAGACTGATGGAAGCAGGCCATCGTCCAATCTTCACAGTCGACTGAGATCCATGATTCTGGATAAACAGCAGGCACAGCAGCAGATACAGCAGAATCATGGTCATCATTTGCCACAGGGACATCAAAATCCAAACGGTTCTAATGATTTTGCAAGTGATGATAGAATACGAGACTCACACGAGGGGAGTGATAAGGGACAGGAGAAGAGACCAGATCAGTATATTAATCAGTCGTCGATGATGGCTGTTAGTCAGGGAAGTGAATCCATGACCGGTAATTTTTTATTGCATAGCCACCACCCTCGTGACGATAGTTTGCACGATGGTGGTGGCTTATGGGAGTGGACAGGAGGTGGTAATGCTAATTCGGATATTATACACAATGCTGAAGGGATTCAGGGATTTGGGGAGTATGGTAGAAAAAGAGAGTGGGGTAGTCAGACTGAGAGTGATAAGGACAACAAGTCCTTTCAGGAGAGACTTGGTATTGTACCTGGTGATGACAAGATGGACAATCAGGTTGTAGCAGGAGGTGGTGATGGTGTTGTGGAGAGAGTGGAGGGACTGGAGAGAGGGGAGAGAGAGGAGATAGAGAATCAGGGGGAGATGGGGGAGATGGGGGAGAGAAAGGAGAACAAGGAGATGGAGAGACCAAGTGGAAATTTAAACGAGGAGAAAAAATCAATTAAAGAGGAAGAGCACAGTCATGAGTACAATTGTCTAGAGTCTGAGTCTCAGGGATCGGAGAGTCTTTCAAAGACAATAAAGAGAGAATCTGATCAAGAGGAGATTGACAGTGACTATAAATTCAGGGGTGATGGTGGTCCTTTGAAATTGTCGACAGAGACTGGATCGTGGTGTTGTCGACGTGGTGGCACTGATCAACCAACACCTGAACACCTGCGAGAAGGGTGCTGTCAGGGCCTACAGACTCAGGATGAAATAATAGCTGATTCACCGGCTAAAGCCAGTGATGTTAAGAATGAACCACCCGCTAGTCCAAAAACACCAACAGCTAAACATCAGGAGCACCTCGACAAACTCAAGAACAATGTAAGGACTGAAGTGCCCGACTGCGACTGCTTTCCAGCTGATAAATGTGAGTTGTTATTGTGTATACAGCACAACACTAACATTGAGAGAACACACTAACCAGTACACAATAAAAAAAAATCTATACCAATATCCTGACAATTAAAACGACATGGATGGTGCTTTTGGAGGCTGTAGAATTTTTCCCTGATTGGCTATTGATACCAAATTGAAAAACAAGTTATTGATAAATACTCAATACTCATCGGGCTTGTGTAGTTAAATGTTACGAAGTCGATGTTGTAAGTAACATGAGGTTCCCAAAACAATCAAAGGTCCTCCGGAGCCCGGCTCGTACTACACTCATCTCGGGGCTGCGGCTAGTCTCCCTGAATTGAGAAATGATCTTGAGAGGAGGACTGGATTGAAGGGAAGTGCCATTAGGCTTGAGAAGGTTGTTTATACGGGCAAGGAGGGCAAGACTACACAGGGATGTCCCATGGCTAAATGGGTGAGTTCAATTTTTTTATTCCTCTCAATTCAATCTAGTTGAAATCCCGAACATGAAATTTCTTGAATAGTTTTGAAAGAGACTATGTGAATGCATAAAAGACGATTGAACACTGACAATGAATTTCAGATACTTCGGCGTTCAGGACTAGAGGAAAAAATCCTATCAATCGTGAAGCATCGTCAAGGCCACAAATGTGCAACAGCTTGGATCGTCGTGGCAATGGTGGCCTGGGAGGGTGTACCAACTCACGAGGCTGATCGAATCTACTCTCTGCTGACTCACAAACTCAATCGCTTCGGTCTCCCAACAACCAGGAGATGTGGCACGAACGAGCCACGAACTTGCGCCTGTCAGGGCCTAGACCCGGACAGCTGTGGGGCTAGTTATTCATTCGGTTGTTCCTGGTCGATGTACTACAACGGCTGCAAGTACGCACGGAGTAAGACAGTCAGGAAATTTCGATTGTCTGTGAGGACTGAGGAGCAGGAGGTGGAGGAACGAATGCACGTTCTGGCGACGCTGTTGTCACCTCTGTATCTCAGTTTGGCACCAGAGGCATTCAACAATCAGACGCAATTTGAACGTGAGGCCAGTGAGTGCAGGTTGGGGTTCAAGCCAGGCAGACCTTTCTCTGGTGTCACAGCTTGCATGGACTTCTGTGCGCATTCACATCGTGATCTCCATAATATGAACAACGGTTGCACAGTGGTAATTTTTTTTTTCGTAATTCAATTTTAAATGATTTTATTGGAGTAGCTATAATTTCCAATTACCCATAAATGATTGATTTCTTCATTGTCTCTTTGCGACAACGAGTCTTAAAAAAATTGTTCCACCTCGTCTTCCAGGTGGTGAGTCTCACGAAACATCGTTCGCTCTCTCGCCCTGAGGACGAGCAGCTCCATGTGCTCCCACTATACATAATGGAGGACACTGACGAGTACGGTTCGAAGGATGGCCAGCAGGAGAAAATAAAGGCTGGGGCTGTGGAAGTCCTAACGAAGTGAGTTCCCGTCATCCCCTTTCCAGCCGCAAAACACAAACGAGAATAAATCCATAATCAGCACAAATTCACTTCCAGGTATCCATGTGAGGTGCGAGTGAGATCAGTGCCCCTGCAGCCATGCAGACGCCACGGAAAGAAGCGAAAGGAAGACGAGCCAGACACGGGAATATCGAAAAAAGAAGTGAAAACTCCAGAAAAAGATTCACGTGGAGTGCCTGGGAGAGAGCCCCAGCTGTCCCTGGAGATGGCGTCGATGTTCGAAGGAATGGACGCTCAACTCCAGAGCTCTCAGGTATCCTCAACGGTTCTGGACTCTCCAGTTTCGATGTATCAGGGCTGGGGGTATCAAGGTGACCAACAGTGGAATCGGAACAACTGGCTGGACCAGAGAAAGAACAACTGGTTAAATCCCTGGGGGGACTACTCCTTCGGTGGTCTTGACAGAGACAATAAAGTCGATCCTGACAGCACGAGCCTCGACGACACGAGGCCAAGGTCATCCATGCCCCAAGACCTGGAGCACAGGCCAAGATCAAGGAATCTTCCTCACTCGACAGTGGAATCCCCGCGAGTCAACTACAACCAACCGAGAGGCCACCCGATATCTCCAAGAAATTCTCACCCCTCTCCAGGGGAAGTCTACGCAATGTCACCGAGACCCCAGGACCCGAGGGCATCTCCAAGAAGTTCTGGCTATCCACCAGCCTCCAGTGATCCAAACTACAGCATCCAGTCGACTCAAAATCGAATCTATCCACCAGCTTCTCCACGACTCGTTTACATTAATTCTCCGCAAAGGGCCCAACACCCAGTGCACCAGGACATTCGCAATCAGTCCCCAGGTCTTCATCACTCTTTACCGTCACCAAAATCACGTGTCAATTACGCTCGACCACAGTACCAAGAGCCCCAATCACGCTCCGACTATACAAATAATTCGAGACACGATCAGTCAGACTCGTTTAACTCACCATCAATTCCACCATCAAATACCGATTTTACAATGCAATCACATCACCAAGAGCATGGACAATACATCGGTGTCAATGATGACAAGAAACTGGATCATCGTAACACATATCACATGGATGGAAAACCACCGGTTTACTGTAATTACTCAGTGCCATCAGATCAAACAACTACTAATTGCCCTGGTAATTGGAATGCACTGAATACCTGGAGTAATCCAGAATGCCCAAAGGCAGATAATCACACGAGTCAGATGGAAAAATCCGGAGTGGATCAAAAACAACAGTGTTGGGAGCCACCACCAGATCCCTCACCGTTTCGTGTACCAAAGGGTCGGCCACCGTCCAGAACGCCAAATCAGAGCCCGTCCGAAAATTATCAAAATCCCACCGCAAAAACATTCCTAAAACCACAGGAGCCAAAGCACGATATTTATCCGGACACTGGCAGAGTAGTTTATCCAAATAATCATGATAAATTATCCGATTATCACGAGAATCGTCAGAATGACAATAGCCCCGGGTGGAATGAGATGAAGCAGGTGCAGGAGTTTCATCCGATGTCAGGACTAGGTCATGCATTTCCCCAGTACGGTTATCACCCGAGTTACCCAGTATTTGATAAGCCATACTCGAACTCATGGGAGGGATACAATTATCAGGGATATAACTACCAGAATCAAGAGTTGTACCAGCAGCCAAAAAGAGAGCACTACCCCGGGCCTCAGTATCCTTATCAGGGTGTGCCTTATCAGGGTCTGGGTTCGGGGTGGCCAAGGTGGGAGACTCCCAGGTGGGATATTTATGGTCACCATCCACCGTATTTTCCAGTGCTACCTGAGCCTCCACCCAAGGCTGAGCCCCTCGGGGAAGTCGCTGACTTCTCTGACAACGAGGAGTGCTTCAAGGATCCTCAGATGGGAGGCGTTGCCATTGCCCTCAGTCATGGCAGTGTTCTCTTCGAGTGCGCTAAACACGAGATGCACTGCACCACTGCCCTGAAGAAACCCAACCGACTCAGTCCTACGAGAATAAGTCTCGTGTTCTATCAGCACCGAAATCTCAACCGACCTAGACACGGTTGGGACGAGTGGGAGGAGAAGATGAGACTTCGTAAACTAGGTGTCACTCAGCCCTCGACAACAGCTACCACTACAATAACATCAGCACCAACAGCACCAACAGCACCAACAGTGTCCTCTGGAATTGTTAAGCCTCTTGTAACGAGTGTCCCCAGCTCGCAGTTCATGATGAGATCACCAACGTACACCACTATGACCTGGACCACACTTTTTCCCATGCATCCTTGCATGATCACTGGCCCTTATCAAGAGGGTGGTGCCATAGGATGAGCACCTGGGGACTCGTGACAATCACCTCAGCTCACGTGTCTTCCGGGGCTCATGTCCTCTATTCGTTAGGGATAATGTCCGTTCAGGGAGAGAATCCACTCGTTTTTTTGTAATAAATTGTTAATTCAGACAATTGCACTGCCATTTTTCTAATCCACTGGTGAGAGTGGAACATCAATGCGTACATGATACTTCCCGTTTTTTATACAGAAGGAAATAGACAGGTAGTTTAGACGTCAGGGTTTGGGGATTTTTTGAGAGTACTGGGGATTTGGTCTGACGGACTTGTTTCTTCGCGCTGTGAGGGTTTAGGGGTGGATGCCATGTCTTACTGTGCAAAGACTTTGATATGATTAGGATTTATGATTAATTTGAGCTGAGAGACTAAGCTGGAAAGTTTTTTTAACTGTATTTTCACTCGCTGGCTATCGATTTTTTGGATAATTTTTCAATTGAATTGTTTTTTCTTTTTGTTTTTATTTTTTGGTATCGGCTAGTCGAGGAACAATTTGTGGTAAAGGAGGATATGTATCTCACTGTGTTGTGCACCAGAATGATCTTCCCAACATCACAGTTTTTTTTAATCATTTTATTAGTTTCGGTCAGGAAGAGGTAAGAGTAACAAGTTGAATCGTTCTCTATTCGCGATTTTGCGGAATATCTCTGAATCTGATGGAGACAGCAATTTTTTTGTTAGTAGCTTTTTTATGGAGCGGATCAAGGGCTGCAATAAAGGTTTATATAAAAATTTAGCCATCTCTATTCGGTTGAGAGATATTTCCCTGAAAAGTTGGCAAGTGGTTAAATCGATTTGTTTCCCTCTACCTCTTGCGTACTGATTTATTTGGATTTCTTGGAATCTAGATGAAGATTATCTTGTTAATTAGTTGTACAGCCACCTGCACAATCGATGACGCATCTCTCCTGGAGGCGAATATAAAGGATGAACAAAAATAATGATGATGGAACCACAATTATGATCTCAAGTTTTAATTGACTATTTTAGCGACATTTTGTAAATTTGTGCTTCGTTATATTTTGTATTTATTTTTTAACGCACCGAATCATGATTTTTTAAAATAACTCTCTCGTTTGCACTAGCCGTCAAACTGAGTTGACATTTAACATGTTTAATCGATTTACTAACCACTCGCCAGAAAGTGGCGTTTGAGTACAAAGCATTTTATTCCTTCTAACAATCATTAAGACACGAAGACTTTTAAAGTGATTTTCAATTTTTCGTGGGGGGACGAGCATCACAAGGTAGTCTGTACCTTATCAAATTTTCTCAATGATACCAGCCCCCTGTATCTTGTGAAAACTCCTTTCTATTCTAAATTATTACCTACAAACTTCAAAATCTATGACACTGAGGATCAAAAACTTTTTATTTTAATTATTGAGGATAAACCATTTATTTATATTACCGAATTTTGTAAATACTAGGTGATTGTTTTTCATATATTTTCACCCTGTCATTCTTCGATTATTTTTTTATCCAATTACAAAGAAAAAAAAATTTGTAATTTCTCTGTCATTCATTTTTAAAACCTAGATTATAAAAAAAGGATCGACGATGCTCCAGCAATCGTACAATTGCATTAAAAAAAATCTTATTTATTTATTTGTCGTGACTATTTTACAATTCAATGCGATATCGATCCTCGAGTGAGCAAATTTAGCATCATTTAGACGATTATTGAATCATTTGTAACAATTAGCGGTACACCGTCGTTAGTGATAGTGATGAGTGGGGAAAAAAAATTGAGAAAAGAAAAGGGAAAAAAAAAATGAGATAAATACGTGAAAAATCTGTTGACGCCTCGACGTGCGCGGGATCGAGGCAGGGATTATGAGTGAATAAATGAAATAAGATAATTGTGGCTACTCGTCACTCCCTCCCCCCCCTCCCGCCCGGAGTATTATAAGAATCATTAATATATTATCATTCATTAATTATCACATATAATAATTAGTAATATAATCTAATTTAATTGATTATTTATTAATTAAGTTTGACAAAAAGTGTTATTGTACTACTATTACTGAATACCAATATTATTAAAAAAAATTTTAGTGGGGGAATAACGATACGAGAACGAAGAGTCGATGCACAAATCATGTTTATAATCAAATAAAAGATGTGATAATTTTCACTGGCATATTTGTCATCAACAGTCATTCTCGCATCCATCCCGAATGAATTCCAAAATTCTTCTCTAAGCTAAGTTATCACCGATCTTTCATTTATTTCTTTTCATTATAAAATAGAATTGCGTAAGGGCGGACAGAGATATTCCAACTAAAATACTCGATGCATTATTTTTTTTCTCTTGTTTTCTTTCCTTTTTGTAACAGACTTTTTCTATGATTGTGGACAGCAGAAGACAGTCCATTTTAATAAAGCAAAATAAAATTTATGAGATGTGATTTTGTAATGTCCACGTGTGCTCACTTTTTTTTTTTATTATTAAGGATTATTTATTGATACCTGAGTGGTGGCTTTTCTCGAGGATTTTTTAATGGCGGTTGTTTGGAATTTTTCCTCTACGTTGGTGAAAGTTTTTTTGTTTAGAATTTGCGTGTGAAAAAATTCTTGGAAAAATAGAACAAATTCGCTGGACAGTCGTATCGGTATCTTAATGAATATTTTCTGACAGTTTTCGAATAATTTCATCGGTTGGTATTTCTAAAAGGAGATAGAAAATTTGAGGTAAGAAAATTCTGGGAAATATCGCGATGAAATAATTTGTGCAGAATTTCCGATAAGACGATCCAGCAAATTGGTAATATTTTTAACAAAATTTTTTCGTTCATGTTTTTTATCGGATCGACGTGTCGCAGTTAAACCACTTCCACGAGTCTCCGAAGTATTCTAATAAAATCTTTCCCTTGATAAATTCACGCGACGATGCCAAAATAGTTCTTAAAGTATAAAATTAGAAAGTAAACGATTGCAATAATTATACGAAAAGAGGATAAAAACTATCTAAAACGATCTAAACGAGTATTTAAGAGTGAAAAATCATTGGTAAAAATTTTAACGCAGTTATCGAGAGTAATGATAAATTATGAAGCGTGATGATTAAGCAAAAGCACATATTTAACAGTTGAGTGGGCGATTGAAGTTGAAAAATGGTGACAAAAGTGTGTAGGGAAAGAAGAAGTTTATAAATAGAAAATTATTTTTTCTTCCAATGCCAAAAAGATGCCATTTTGTTTTATACGAAAACCAAGTTAATGAGAAAGCGAGAAAAAAAAGAAGTGGGGGGAAAAAATTTTACGTAGTCTGTAGAGAGTGTGTGTAAGACATGTAATGAGGAAAACAAAATCAATGTGTGTCTCGTGAAACAAAAAAAAATGTCCGCCTTATGAAGAAACAGATTTACAATAGAAAAAAAAAAAATATAAAGAACATATTTGTAGTTTACAGTAACAGAGTTTGAAAATAAACGAACAGTAATTAGAAGTAAAAATAAAAGTGGTGTTGCAATTATCCGATTATATTCGAGCTGTGAAAATTCCGAAAAACCACTGGTTTTTCGATATTTTCGGGCCTCAACGTCCCAGGAATTCCTGTCTGATGAATTAATGCGCTGTAATTATATATATTCAAGAAATACAGGCGTATACGTATATTTTTTGACACATACTCCAAAAAAAAAAAAAAAACCCGATAAGCCTCCAGAATAATTGGGATAAAGAATTTATATTGAATTTGAAAAATAGTGATTCAAGATAAGAGTTATAAATTCGTCAAAATTTAATATATCGTAGATAAAGATTCTTGAATATAGAGTGAGAAAGAGGAAGGGGAAATGAAATTAAAAGATAAAGTGGAATAATCGATTGCAATCATCAAGGACTCACTCGATTATCAAAATAAGAACTAGATTGCATCAATTGAGAATGAGACGTTATGACGTTTATAAAATAAACTATGTATAGTAGATCGACATATTTCTGGTTGATCCTAAAACAATTGTGTGTTTGTAGGTGTGTTCGTGGGGTGATTAAGAGCTAATGAAAATTAAATTAATTGCAGTAGATAAGAACACATGAAAATTATTGAAGAAGGAATCGTTCGACGAGAGAATTGCGCCATCGAGTCAAGAAGCGTCAATACCGCATAAGTGATTAATTGAGTTGATATGATTGATGTAAGATTATGTTTAGAGGTAAATACATATGTCAGACGTAATTGTGAATATACCATGGGAGATAATAGACGAAAAAGAAACAAAAAAACAGAAATACATGAAACTTTTGTGAATAAAAATGAAGTTGTGTTTCATTGATCGATTTTTTTATTTCTGCGTCTTGGATGAAATATAAAATGTATGAACAATTTATCGAAATATGTTTAGATATGTCGAATAAATTTTAATTATCTCTTTTTTCGGTGATTCTATCGATATGTAATTGAAAATCAAAAATGAAAAAATAATAGAGAGTAATTCGTGGGTCAGACGGAAGTGACTGAATTTTTCTCCTTGAGCGTGTGCCCCTCGCAACACCCCACAATTGATGCTTTAAATCACGAAATAAATTATCAAAATGCCCAAATATCCAGGTGGCCCAAAAAAAAAAAAATGAAGTAACGTTGATTCACGTGTTGCATTTATCGAGGTCGTAAACTCGTTCCCTGTATTTTCGCAATGAATTCAGCGCAGCCCTTTCTACCCATCGGTGCATCTCAAAGATATTATCTTCAGTGAGAGTATCTCCAGCCACCGAGTGACCATCGGGCCCATCGGGCCCAGCACCACTCGACTCGAGTGGAATGCCCTTCCAAAATGGCGCAAGAATCTGGATCAGTGTCAAAATTCCTGGGGACGGAATGATTTCTTTTCGAGAGGGAGAACAACTCGCTAATATCCATTATCACGTATGAAAAAAAATTTATTATATTTATCATATCAATTAATTATAATAATAATTTTATAATAATTGTTCGTGATATATGGCGTATTAAATGTTTCTCATGCGGGCATTAGACTCGCTGGAATAGCAGAAAAAAATGCGTAATTTTTACTGAGATTTATGGCAGTGCACGGATACAAGCCGCTGGTAGTAATTAAACATTGCCTCTAAAATCCACCACCCACGCATCTCCCACGGTATTGGTCTCACGAATGCAGATATTCGGGGGCTTGTCTGTTGGAATGGACCGGTCCTAAATCCTCGTAACTTGTTGTAACGACTGTGTGCGAGAATATTCTCAGTGTCTCGAAGGTATTTCTCGCCAAAGGCTAATTCACGGGAGAAAGAGAGAGATAGAAAACCCTGCGACCACATTCCGATGGACTTGTCTCATCCCCTTGGAGTTATTGCAATTAATTTCAATCATAGAATACGCCAGGTTCCCTATTTTTGAATTGACACTGTGGAAATTATTCTCAAATTCAATTTCAACGGTTTCGAATTGTCAGGGGGTACGATAAATAATTTTCGGGGAATATTTAATAATAATATTGTAAACAAAAAACAATTTTTTTTTAAATCACTTTCTGCGTTGAAATTCAAAAGTAAAAAATGGAAAATTGAAATGATTTCCAGATCCCTGACATTTCGACGAATAACAAAAACCCGATTTTCATTTCAATTCAATAATTGCTATCCTCTGTACAATGTACTCTCTCCCTTGGAAGATGAATTTATTCTGAAAGGCAGTAAATAACCGATCAGAAGTAACGTACTCTTCTATAATTATTAACCATTGAGTTGCGCACGCGATACAGTCTTGAAACACGTGGTTTGGCTGTATGAATTTTTTTTTTATTTGAATTGTCTTTTTTTAAAACCTGTGGCTGTATGAGTTGCGACCTCTTAAAATCGGTTCGACAACCCCATAACGATCGGCCTGAGCACAACCGCCCCGGGCATTTTAACGACTCAACGACAAAAGCTCAAGCCGCCTGTTCTTTTTCTCCTTGTTTCGAGGCTTTAATTTTTATTCACTTCCCTTGAAAACAATAGTCCCCGATAAAAGTTGCATTGACTTGCCGGAGGGATAAAGGGCCCATTGACAGGTTAAACACCGATTTACCTGTGGTTTATGGGGCCTCACTCGTCTCTGCGGCTTTTCCCGGGAAAAATAGTGAGAAAACTGATTGTGATGTTGATTTAATCTCCCTAGGGCCTTTTGACGGGCCTCTAATGGTTTTTTTATTTTTTTCTCTCTTCATTTACAAGATATTAATTCAAAATGGCCACGAAAAAAAAAATGCTATTGCCCAGGGCATGAAGAATATATATTCTTGGAAATATAAATTTATTTCGCTCTATTCGAATGTTTAATTTAGAAAGCAATTTTTTTTTTGGTGAATAATGGCGAATAAAAATATTGAAAGTCAATGAAACCTGGGAAATTATAAACAATCACTGATAAATAAAAATCCCCGACAGTTTAACGATTCCTGTAGACTAAATACAATCATTCGGGCCCCTGCAGGTGTCAAATAACGAAATGCATTGCACAGGCTTTAATCATACCGCAGAATGAAAAATCCCCGTGAAATTAATTCCCCGGGGTAATTAAACCGATTTTCACCTCCACATTTACAGCGACTACGAATAATTCAATAAATGGATAAAAAAATTATTCTTCGGTCAGGACAGCAGAAGAAAACAGAAAAGAACAAGTGAATTCTCGTGTCTCTGGTTATTTGTAATCTGGGCCCAAGTGAAAATTGCTGGAGGCAATAGCGACCGTTAGTCCCTATACGAGAGGCTCAGGTGTCGCAGGGGAAACGAGTGGGCATTTTTATCGTGCAAGGTGTATCTGTTAGGTTTAAAATGTATTACGCATGTGTTTAAGCCCTCGTTTTTTTTTTAACAACGGAATTGGGTGTATAGGTAATGCCGCTCCTTTTGCCAAAATCCCGGGGTAGACGGCG